TTCTACTAAAATCAGGGACAAGAAAGGCAGTCCGTTGTCTCCATATCTACACAATATAGAACTTGAAGTTTTAGCTAGATTGATAACACAACTAAAGGGGACCAAAGAGGTACAAATTGGAAGGGAAGAAGTTAAAGTATTACTATTCTCAGGTTATATGGTAGAAACACCAAAATTTCTACCAGAGAACTCTCCCACACCTTCAGAAAAGTGGCTGGATACAAAATTAAGTAAAACAGAACAAAACAAGCAAAAGCAAAAAACAAAATACAAAAAACAAAACAAAAACCCAAAAAAGTAAAAAACAAAATAAAACAAAACAAAAACAAAACACCCAAAAAACCTAACAAACCAACCTACCAAACAAAAAAACCCAGGTCCCAGGAAGGACAGTCTGTGGATGGCCTTTCCTTCTGTCTCTGCTCCACACTTTGTCTCCATATTTCCTCCTGTGATTGTTTTGTTTCCCTTTCTAAGAAGCACTGAAGCATCCACACTTTGGTCTTCCCTCTCCATGATCTTCATATGGTCTGTGACTTGTATCTTGGTTATATTAAACTTTTGTGCTAATAACCACTTATCAGAGAGTTCATACCATATGTGGTCTTTTGTGACTGAGCTACCTCACTCTGGATGCTATTTTCAAGTTTCATTCATTAGCCTGTGAATTTCATGAAGTCATTGTTTTTAATAGCTGAGTAATACTCCATTGTGTAAATGTACCACATTTTCTGTATCCATTCCTCTGTTGAGGGACATCGGGGTTGTTTCCAGCTTCTGGCTATTATAAATAAGGCTGCTATGAACATAATGGAGTATGTGTCCTTATTACATGTTGGAGCATCTTCTGGGTATATGCCCAGGAGTGGTATAGCTGGGCCCAGTTTTCTGAGGAACTGCCAGACTGATTTCCAGAGTGTTTGTACCAGCTTGCAATCACTCTAGCAATGGAGGAGTGTTCCTCTTTCTCCACATCCTTGCCAGCATCTGCAGTCACCTGAGGTTTTAATCTAAGCCATTCTGACTTGTGTGAGGTGGAATCTCAGGGCCATTTTGGTTTGCCTTTTCCTGATGACTAAGGATGCTGACCACTTCTTTAGATGCTTCTCTGGCATTTGAGTCTCCTCATTTGAGAATTCTTTGTTTTGCTCTGTTCCCCATTTTTAATAGGATTATTTGGTTCTTTGGAGTCTAACTTCTGGAGTTCTTTGTACATATTGGATATTAGCTGTCTCTCAGATGTAGGATTGGTAAAGATCTTTTCCCAATACGTTGGTTGCTGTTTTGTCCTATTGACAGTGTTCTTTTCCGTTCAGAAGCTTTGCAATTCTATGAAGTCCCGTTTGTCAATTCTTGATCTTAGCGCATAAGCCATTGGTGTTCGAGAAATTTTCCCCTGCGCTCAAGTTTTCGAGGCTTTTCCCCACTTTATCTTCTATTAGAGTCACTGTATCTGGTATTATGTGGAGGTTCTTGATCCACTTGGACTTGAGATTCATACAGGGAAATGAGAATGGATCAATTTGCATTCATCTACATGCTGAACACCAGTTGAACCAGCACAAGTTGTTGAAAATGCTGTTCTTTCCCCACTGGATGTTTTAAGCTCCTTTGTCAAAGATCAAGTGACCATAGGTGTGTGGATTCATTTCTGGGTCTTCAATTCTATTCCACTGTTCTATCTGCCTGTCACTATACAAATGCCATGCAGTTTTTATCACTATTGCTCTGTAGTACAGCGTGATGGTGATTTCCCCAGAAGTTCTTATGTTGTTGAGAAGTTTTCCCTATCTTGGGTTTTTTGTTATTCCAAATGAATTTGAGAATTGCTCTTTCTAACTCTATGAAGAATTGAGTTGGAATTTTGATGGGGATTGCATTGAATCTCTAGATTGCTTTCATCAAGATGCAAATTTTTGCCAAATTAATCCTGTCAATCCAGGAGCATGGGAGATCTTTCCATCTTTTGAGGTCTTCTTTGATTTCTTTCTTCATAGATTTGAAGTTCTTATCATACAGATCTTTCACTTGTTTGGTACAGTCACACCAAGATATTTTGTATTGTTTGTGACTACTCCCCTTATTTCTTTCTCAGCACATTTATCTTTTGAGTATAGGAAGGTTACTGATTTATTTGAATGAATTTTATATCCAGTCCCTTTGCTGAAGTTGTTTATTAGTTGAAGGAGTACTCTGGTGGAATTTTTGGAGTTACTTAAGTATAATATCATATCATCTGCAAATAGTGATATTTTGACCTCTTCCTTTCCAATTTATATCCCTTTCACCTCCTTTTGTGATCTAATTGCTCTGGCTAGAAATTCAAGTGCTATACTGAACAGATAAGGAGAGAGTGAGCAGCTTTGTCTAGTCCCTGATCTTAGTGGGATTGCTTCAAGTTTCTCTCCACTTAGTTTGATATTGGCTACTGTTTTTTTACATATTGCTTTTATTATCTTTAGGTATGGGCCTTTAATTCCTGATCTTTCCAAGACTTTTACCATGAAGGGATGTTGAATTTTGTCAAATGCTTTTTCATCATCTAATGAAATGTTCAAGTGTTTTTTTTTTTCTTTGAGTTTGTTTATGTAGTGGATTACATTGATGGATTTCTGTTTATTGAACCATCCCTGCATCTATGAGATGAAGCCTACTTGATCATAGCTTCAATGATTGTTTTGAATGATTGTTGTGAATGATTGTTTTGATGTATTCTTGGATTCAGTTTGTGAGATTTTTATTGAATATTTTTGCATTGATGTTCATAAGGGAAATTGATCTGAAGTTCTCTTTCTTCATTGGGTCTTTGTGTGGTTTTGATATCAGTGTAACTGTGGCTTCATAGAATGAATTGAGTAGTGTTCCTTCTGTTTCTATTTTGTGGAATAGTTTGAAGAGTATTGGTATTAGGTCTTCTTTGAAGGTCTGATAGAATTCTGCACTAAAGCCATCTGCTCCTGTCCTTTTTTTGTTTGGGAGACTTTTAATGACTGCTTCTATTTCTGTAGGGGTTATGGGTCTGTTTTGATGGTTTATCTGATCCTGCTTTAACTTTAGTGTTTGGTATCTGTTTAGAAAATTGTCCATTTCATCCAGATTTTACAGTTTTGTTGAATATAACCCTTTGTAGTAGGATCTGATGATTTTTTGAATTCCCTTAATTTTTTTGTTGTTATATCGCCTTTTCATTTCTGATTTTGTTAATTTGGATTCTGTCTCTGTGCCCTCTGGTTAATCTGGCTAAGGGTTTATTTATCTTGTTGATTTTCTCAAAGAACCAGATCCTGGTTTGGTTGATTCTTTGTATAGTTTTTTTTTTTTTTTTTTTTTTTTTTTTTTTTAGTTTCTATCTGGTTGATTTCTGCCCTGAGTTTGATTATTTCCTGCCATCTACTCCTCTTGGGTGTATTTGCTTCTTTTTATTCTAGAGCTTTCCGGTGTGCTGTCAAGCTGCTAGTGTATGCTCTCTCAAGTTTCTTTTTTGGAGGCACTCAGAGGTATGAGTTTCCTCTTAGTTCTGCTTTCATTGTGTCCCATAAGTTTGGGTATGTTGTGGCTTCATTTTCATTATGTTCTAAAACATCTTTGTCTTTAATTTCTTTCTTTTTCTTGCTTGACCAAGTAGAGCGTTGTTCAGCTTCCATCTGTATGTGGGCTTTCTGTTGTTTTTGTTGTTGTTTAAGACCAGCCTTAGTCTGTGGTGATCTGATAGGATGCATGAGATTATTTCAATCATCTTGTATCTGTTGAGGCCTGTTTTGTGACTGATTATATGGTCAATTTTTGAGAAGGTACCATGAGGTGTTGAGAAGAAGGGCTTCTCCAACTCTTAATGCTGTCCTTTTTGAGAACCAGAATTCTGGTTGATAACAACATTTGTTGTTTTAATCATTGATATGTAATTACTTTTCTGCAAGCATCTTTTTATTAGTCCTAATAATCATATAAAATAATCTTTGATACCTTCCTGCATGTGTGTAACACAGTTTGATCACATGTGCTCTTTGCCCTACTTCCCCCTTCTCCTCACACTGTCCTGTTCTCTCATAGTCACTCCACTACTTTCAAGTCATTTGGTTTTCACAGGAGTTTTTTCTTTCTTGTCAAAACTGGTGTCAAAGTCCTGAAATCAAGGACTATTCCTGCTTTAACCTCCTGAATGATGCAATTTCAGGGTTATGCTACCAAGTCCAGCTCAGATTACTAGGAGAAAAGTTTTCAACATAAAAAAACCTGAAGCCTTAAAAAAAACATTAGTACCTCCTAGATCTTTCCATGTAAATAAACACTCTCTTCCCTGATACTCAGTATGTTCTTGGCCACGGCAAGAGTCACTCCCTATGTAATTAGAATGGTTGGCTGTCTTTTCTCCCAGTTTCTGTGGTCTTTGAACAAGAATTGCATTTCTTCTCTTGTGATTGATTTGAAGGTCCTTGTATAAAATAAGTACTTAATGATTATTTATGGGGTGAATCATGTACAGGGAAGTGATACACATACTACTAATAAATAACCACTCTGTACAGGTGTAGCAAATACTGCAAGAAGTCTGCCTTGCTGATGGGACTGGCAAAAAGTTAGGGAGCCTTTCAGGTGAGTGCGTTGGTCAGGCTGCCTTCATTGATACATACAGATATTATCTGGGCAGAGAAACCATAGGGACTCTTATACATATACATTCTGAGGTAATGGTGAAAAATTTTAGTATTAAGATCACTTTCATGGGAAGGGCAGACGGTGCCTGCAGGAATGAGCTGGTTTTCAGAGAGAAAGCATGTTAAGGGGGAGGATTAGTAACTGTGGCATTGGAACCCCATGAAGGGTGAAGATAATTTGAATCAGAAAAGCTGGGTGGTTCTCAGTGAGGCATGCAGAAAGACAAATTCATAGCCCCATCCCATGATCAAGCACACTAAAGAGAAAAGAAACATGTTCAGAATATGTGGGCTCATGAGATCCACAGGGAATCTGGAGAGAGGAGGCTGTGTCTGAATACTCACAGAACCATCCTTGGGGCTTTCAGCTCATATCCTTGCTGTCTTTCCATATTCAGCTGAAGACTCCTCACATGATAGCAGAACTGAATGCAGAAAGTGACCACCATGAGTTCCATATCTGTCTGTATCACCAAGTGATTCTCGTTTGTTTGGAACAATGTGTGTGCAATGTCATTTGGGCTAGGCACAATTGTACCTTGAAGATTGTGTGTCATGTCTGTCAGGAGCTCCATTTCCTGATTTTCATAAAGACAGTAGAGCAAACCCAGACAATGTGGTTGATGGGGTTGGGATTTCCCTAGAATGTGCCATAGTAGTCTCAATTTTGCCTTCCCAGGAAGGCTACAGGAGAAGAACTTTTCCATTTCCTTCAATCCCTCTTTACTCAAAAGACCAAATAGGAAGTGCACAGTGGGTGCCTCAAACAGGTTTTGTCTTCCATACCGTTCTACCAGAGTTTCCACAATTCTGTCATTTTCCATATCACCATGTCTTTCCTCACTATCCTGTAAGATGTAGGACATTGCTGCAAAGAACTCCTGGAGACACAAGTGGGCAAAGCTGTAGCTCAGAGAGCTGGGCTGCTTTTGAAGGACACCAATCTTCAGGAAAGTGGCAATGGCATCCTCTGCTAATCCTTGCTTACAGAGGTCGCTTTCATTGAACAGGGTCCTTCTTTGGCAGATCCCCTGAGCAGCCAGTGAGCAAAGGGCTCTGAGCTGGGTCCTTAGGTGCTGACCTGGGATTGTCAGGTCAAGGTATTTCAGACAAAGAGTGGTGGTCGTCTGTGAGGTCAGTGAGAGTACTCCACCCTGCTCCATCTGCATTTTCAGGCAAGTGCAGACCAACCAGCACACCCAGGGAACCTCACACAGAGTCAGGAGCACAGGGTTAGATTTAACCAATATAAGAGCAGTAGTTGCATCTCTTTCTCTTGCAAAATATTTGTAGAAGTAGTCCTCTCGTTCAAACTCAGTAAATCCTAGGACTTGCACCTGATATAGCTGTGCCAAAGAAGGAATGATCTTCTGTAGATCTGAGTCCCGAGCTGTAAGCAGAAAGGAAGCCTCAGGAAGGACAGATTTCCCCAGCAAACTGCCTAGCAGTGTGTCCACAGGCTGTATTTGACTCCAATGCAGACATAGCTTAGGATTCTTGTCCTCCAAAACCCATGCTGGCTCATCTATGCCATCTAGAATGAATAGCAGCTTCTCAGGGTGAGACAGGACCTCACTGATGGGAGCTTTGGGCATATCCTGGCCTTGTGCTATGAGCTCAGCCAGACTCAGCTGCTTGCTCTGGGCCAGCTCTCTGCAGCTGAAGAAGAAGACATGCTGGAAGCGATCCCTGTAGAGCTGACCTTCCTTCCAGGCTCTCCTCACCAGCCTGGCCAGTATTGACTTCCCAATCCCAGCAGCTCCCTCTATTATGACTAATTGAGGCTTTTTCTGGGTATCTATGCTTTGGCCAAATAAGTCTTGGATCTCAATCATATGTCCTTCTTCTTCTGGTACACATGGATGCCAGTGTTTCCTGGTCAAGTTCTCTGAGACTTTTGAGCACAATTTTTGGAAGAGCAGTATGTTTGTAAAATTTTGGAACAAATTGTCCCTTTTTAATGACCTTGTGGGATAAAGAGTCTCTCCTTCTTGCTTCATACATACTTCTGGAAATATTCCTAAATGGAAGAGAAAGTTGGAACAGAAGTGTATGCATTAGTATTGTGTGTTCATTTAATCTATCCTTCCTTCTTTCCTCTTTTCTTCCTCCCTTCCTTCCCCCTATATTCCTTCCTTCCTTGCTTTTTTGATCCTTTATCATAGGATGCATTTATGTATCTATCTTAAGTTGTATATATCATATAGGTTGTGGGTATTGGTATATATGAAAAGTGTAGTGCAGAAAATGTGAGTTTAGAGTAGAAGATTCTGCTTCAAGAGGTCATATGACTTATAATGCTCTCTGACATTCATTCATGCTCCAGAGATTTATTCATTTGTTTCCCTGTGCCATGCTCTGAGGCTGAGAGTAAAGGGTCAGTTCACAGACATAACTGTCTTCATTCATCCTATGAGATGATCTAGTAGCTCCACTTAGCTCATCTTTCTGGTCTGTAATTTGGTGACTGTGGTCTCTTTCTGTAGGTGATCATGAAGTAGTGGGGAGATTACAGACAGTGGAGCAGAGCTCTACTCCTGACAGATCTTATTGGATCCACCATTGCAGTTCTGATAACATCATCCTAAAGTTCTGATATTGTGGGCCTGAAGGGAAAGTCTAGGAATGCCATAAAGTTCACATTTCAGGACATAGTTTTGGTCCCCTGTCCCAAGGCCAGGCAATTTTGGTTTGTATTTTGTGCTGTATTCCAGATGTCTTTGGTAACAACACACCTTGTTGGTGGTGCTGTTTGGGTTTGGGTTTTTTTTTTTTTTGTCTCTTCTGAAACTGAGTCTGAAACTCAGTTGCCAACAAAGGAGTAAGGTATACTCAGGAGTAAGGAATACAGGTCTAGGGTGGGTGTTTGGAGTCATGGGGGTAGGTCCCCTAATAATTGACCAATACTTTTCTTCTAGGAATGGGCAAGCTGTTGTGGGAAGAGGTACTCTTTCTTTCATTCAGTTACCTGTTTGCCTTCATATGCTTTTTTTTAAAAATTGTTTGAGGCTGAGTAGTCAGAGTTTTCAGTCTTATAACCCAGCCTCCAGAACTAAATTTTGTATGCACGTTTGACAAAAAAGGCCACTGAGCATGGTGTTGTAGCTCTATAATTCATCACTCAGAAGACAGATGCAGGAGAATCATGAGCTCAGGCCCAGCTTTTCCATATAGGGAAATTTGAAACCATCCGAGGCTATGGTCAATCTATCAATTTATCTATTAATCAGAAAGTCAGTCATTCAATTAGTAACTTAATCAACTACCCATAAAACAAGAATAAAGAGGTCACCTAGTCTTTGTTTTCTGTCCTGGCAATGGAAATCAAACTCAGATATTTGTTCCTGATTTAACATGCTCCACAGTTTGTCACTGTGCACTCTGCTGAGCTTCACTCTTCTGTTTTCCTCCTGCTTCCTCTAACCAGTGCATCTGAGGACTCATCTTTCCAGTTTTTGTCCAGAATACAAATATCATCTCAGCATCTTCATTTGAAGGAACTCAAGAGAAGACAGTCAGGAAGATGACTTATGGACCAGAATCCAAGTTCATTCCTCATACTGGCCTGTTGCCCAAAGTACAATACAGCTACTTGTACTGCCATGGACCAGGTGTTGGGGATAATTTGGTGAGAGTACTGAATTTAGCAACAGTCCACACAATTAGCACTCAAGGGCCTAGCTTCAGGGGTCAACTTGGCTCTGAAATCAAGATCTATAGATCTGCACATAGTGTCTTCTGTAGGAGGACTTCTAATATCTCCTGAGTGCAGCAAGCTGGCCACTCATGTCTGAAGCCAAGGCCTGCCTGGCTCAGAAAATGTCTCCTCAAAGTGCCAAGAGAGGGCCAAGCTCTTCCCAGAGCACTTTCTCTAAGACATTCCAGCTGAAATGGATCTGTCATTATGCAAACACCTAAATTCTCTTAAATTCTGTTACACTTGAAAAGTAGGTAGGGGAATCAAGATGGTTCAGCAGTTAAAGAACTTGCAACCAAAGCATGAATAGTAGAATTTGTATCCCAAGACTCCACTTATAGGCTGAGTTTGCATTGTGGTCCTCTGTAATTTCAGGATCAGGACACACTTGGCTTCCTCAGGGTAAGATGGCTAGCCAGCCTTGCTACTTACTGAGCTCTGGGTATAGATGATAGGATGTTCTGCCTCCATGAATAAGAGAGCAACTAAGGAAGATTCCCGACATCAGTTTAGTGCACTCACATGTACATGCACAGTGCAACTTATTACTCATATATGCCCCCCCCACACACACCACAGAGAAGACAAAAGGACAGCCAATAAAAACTCACATAAAGTGGATAGAAGTGGAAAATATTCTATGTAGTGAGGTATTGTATTGCCTACAGAGACAAATGCCACAAGTTTTCTGTCATATATGTATTCTACCTTTATATATTTTTATTTTCATGTTTAGTTTGGTTTTCAAATGTTTCTGTTAAGTTCTTGAAAATTTTCTATTTACACCTGACATTTACATGATTCCCACCTTTCCTTAGTCCCTGTACAATTCTCCTGAGTCCTCTCCTTCCCTTTCAAATATAGAATCTTTTTTTCTTTAATGTGTGTCTTGTCTTAAATTTCTTCCAATGAAGATTCTGAGAAGAGATTTGTGTTTTGTCAAAATCTGGAGAGATGAATCCTCAGATGTGCTGGTTGGAAGAAGCAGGAGGAAAGCAGGAGAGGTGAAGGTCAGCAAAGTGCACAGTGGCAAACGGTAGAGTATGGTAAATCGAGAACAAATGTCGCTGGGTAATTCATAACACACACATTCTGATGAGTCCCATTAGACCTGCTGTTATGTATATGTGTGTCATGCTGAATGCTTGGAATTAAATAACCCATGAGAGGCTCATCTGGACAAGACTGTTATCTCTGTCTTTCAGCAGCCATTAATTACCTGGAACTTTTCATTTAAAGGTGTTACCATGTAAGTCTTATTTGCAGTGCCTCTTTAAGTCAGGAAATTATGAGTCCACGTCATGGGTTGGGTAAAAGGACTTGAGAGGTGCAGAGAAAGCAGAACAATTCTCATATGAAAATTGGTTCAAAGTTGAAGGTAGGATTAGGATTGTTTGACAAAGGAGAGGAGTAAGTAGCGATTGATTAACCAAGACTAAAAATATATGAAAGTTCCTTATGGAAACAAACTAGTTTGACCTTAATAAAAATATAACTTATATAAATGCAGGCTATTGAGCAATGAGATTACGGTCCTCAGAGGACATGAGTTACTAAATTCCAGTCCCAACATCAAGCATGTAGTACCTGCCAAAGAGTTACTGGTCATGGAGGAAGCAGACACTCAAAACACAAAGAAGCTTGTTGCCATTGTTTTTCACAGTCTAAAGAAACTAGAGTTAGGCCTGGTCCTTTGGGCTGGAGCAGACACAGAGTTGTTCTGCTCCTGTCCTGTGGAGAAACTGAAT